TTAGGTACCTATCAACTGGCTTTAGATATTATAATCGACTAGCATATTGTTCAATTTATCGAACATTTTATCCATCGTGATTAGGGAATAATCATTTTTCCATCTTGATTAAGATGTCAAACAACTTACCAACTCTTCCTTCCACTGACCATGCAAGGAGAGTTTTCAGTGTTGAAGATGACCCAAATGAAATTAAACAAGATATTCGAGATATAGAAAATCTAACTCATTCGCACTCAAATGATATAAATATACGGAAAAATGTCGTAACTAATAGTAACAACCCTTCTAATGATAATTTGATTTCACCGATATATTCTTCAAAATCTATTAACCTTTTTCAAAACAATAACTCTAATGGTACTCCAAGTAATGAAAAACAAAATAACAGGAAACCACCGAGAATCCCTGTAGAGGATCATTTGAATTCAATCCATTCCATGAGGTCAATCGATCATGATCCAGTAAAGGATAGAATTGTCATTCATGACCATACAGGAACTTCAGGCCAAGATTTTATTATTGATCGTATTAATGTAGATCATGGAGATGATAGAATATCCAATGTTTCATCTACAGAATCATTTACTTTACGTGAAAGACAAGATGCTATTAATGAGACACATCCATTTGGTATTAGAATTTGGAAGCCTGCTTTATATAAGAAGCAGAGGTCTGTTCAAAAAACAGCAGACCAAGATATTCATGAAACCAAAATTAAAATACTAGGCTGGTATGTCCACTTATCTAATTTTCTATGGTCAGTTACATGCGGTATAATACTATTTATATTATGTTACATTGCAGGTATATTAGTGCCCATTTTAGGATTTTTTACGAAGTCATCTAGAGCATATGCCGCTGTTTTCTTTAAATTAGCCCGTTATTTGTTGTGGCCATTTGGAAAAGTAGTATATCTGATCCAAGATGATCGTTATTTGATAGAGGATAATAATGAAGGTATAAGCGCCCAGCAGTTTTTCACATGGATTACATCGTATGGTAAGATGTTTTCAGGTCAGCAATTAAATTCAACATCAACAAACCAACATCATAGTTATGAATCATTGCGTGATATGAATCGGATAAACCAAGCTTCATACGGTTCTATACAACAATTTATTACTGATCAGCAAAAGCAAAACAACAACTCAATAGATGCTGTGACTGAAGGTAATAACCGCCAGCAAAGTAATGGAAGCGGATTAGACAGAGAGGCATCAGTTACCGATGGGCATATCAATCACCGAAGATATTTTGGAAGAGGTGAATGGACTATAGGGAGATTGGCTTTCTACGTCTTATTTTACATTATTTTACAACCTATTGTCCTACTACTGTCTTTAATAACATGGTTATTTGTTTTCACTATACCGATGAGTAACATATTATGGAAATTGTCATACCATTTAAGAAGACATCCTCTTGCTTTGGATTTTAAATCACTTGAAAGAAGAGTTCCCGCTGGAAACTCTTTACTCTCATCTGATAATAAAAATGTCATTCTATGTACCTTTAGATGTGCAGGTCTCCACTATTATAAATATACTGTCGATGGTACAAATGTCATAGTTATGAATTTAATTGCGATTGTCTTTTTTACCATTTTTGATTTTTATGTGATAAAAAATTATTGTGGTTTGAAATCATGGTTAAGTAATGAATCAACAATTTTTGTATTTTGTTTAATTTCAATTACACCTTTGGCCTTCTATATTGGTCAAGCAGTGGCTTCGATTTCAGCTCAAACTTCAATGGGTGTAGGTGCTGCTATCAATGCATTTTTCTCAACGGTAGTCGAAATATTTTTGTATTGTGTCGCATTGCAACAAAGGAAAGGATTACTCGTGGAAGGTTCAATGATTGGATCAATTCTAGGTGCAGTACTGATGCTTCCTGGTCTTTCAATGTGTAGTGGTGCTTTTGTCAGAAAAACACAGCGTTATAATCCGGCAAGTGCTGGCGTATCATCTGCTCTGCTTATATTTTCTATGATAGTTATGTTCTTCCCAACAATTCTCTATGAAATATATGGCGGGTACATTGTCACATGCGAAGACAAAGATGATAAATCTTTGACTGTCTTTTCTGCTATTCTAGCAATGACCTCAGAAAAGTGCTATTTTAGCCGTCCACCTTTAAAGTTTGACAAAATGTATAAATCAATTATTCAACCAATGTCTATTACATCTGCGGTTGTATTATTTCTAGCTTATTTCATAGGGTTATGGTTTACTCTAAGAACTCATGCCAAATTAATCTGGCAATTACCAATATCCGATCCACCAAAGGAAACAGGCGGTGTACCTAGCTCTGAATCCAATATTATTCATGCTCAAGATAATGGACATGATGGCAGTAATACCCACGAAGCTCCAAATTGGTCGAGGTCAAAATCAACCTGGATTTTATTATTATCAACATTATTGTATGCAATAATCGCTGAAATATTAGTTTCATGTGTTGATTCAATTTTAGAGGATTTTCCATCTTTAAATCCAAAATTTTTAGGTTTGACAATTTTTGCATTAGTACCAAATACTACGGAATTCTTAAATGCCATTTCATTTGCAATGCATGGGAATGTTGCATTATCGATGGAAATCGGTTCTGCCTATGCTTTACAAGTATGTCTTTTACAAATTCCTGCATTAGTATTGTACTCATTCTTTCACACATGGAATATAGATCATTCTTTGATAAGTATTAGAGATGAAATGTTTCCGTTAGTTTTTCCTAGATGGGATCTAGTAGGATCAATGACAAGTGTGTTTTTATTCACCTATTTATATGCTGAAGGCAAATCTAATTATTTCAAAGGTTCAATTTTGATATTATTATACATTGCTATCATTATTGGTTTCTATTTCCAAGGTCTTATTGACAGTAATAATTCAGGACAATGAAAGAGATGCTAGTTTTAGTTCGCTTTTTATCCTTTTGAATTTTTCTTTTGTGAGCATTTAAATCAACTATTATAGATGTTTCAAGAACACAGTTTAACAACAATTCATAGACGTTTTAGTTTTAATAATAATTTTTACATTACCAGGTTTATTAATTTTCAAAGTTTCATTCATATTATATCAAATTAATTTTATAAGTATGTAACATATATACACTTAGTTACTATTTTAATGCATTTATAGCTAAATCAAAATAGAGATTAACATTAGTGTTAAGCCGATTATATATGCGGAATCAACTTATATAAGTATTTTACAAAGTAATAGTTGCTTGAACGTACTTACCAGTACTAGAATGAGGAACGAATTCGATTTTATCTTCATCACCTAGTTTTAAAACTTGCTTAAATTTAGTACCAACATTAGTTAAAGCTTCGGTATTATCATCCGCTTTAGTCCATAATGCGAATTTAGAGGTACCCTTTCTGATACTTAAGACGACACCATTAATTTGAGAATCATCTTCATCAATAGTTTCACCAATAACAGCTAATAAAGCTCTCAACCAAAGTTCGTCAATATCAGAACTTTTGCTTCTGATGTGAAATGACCATTTACCACCTTTTGAGTTTGCTGGATCTTCCCATTCTGGTCTAATGTTGTCACGGAAAACATGATAATCAGATTTCATTGGCAATTCATGAGGTTCAGGAATATTTTGAATAATAGCCCAAAATTCTTCAACAGTTTCAAAAGAAGTTACTGGACGTAATAAATCAGACCAAGTTTCCGATTTATCAACAGCAGGCTTAGTATACCATAAAGTCCATTTCGAATTCAAAGGATGCTTGACCTCAAAATTAGAGCTATCACTTAAAACAGTCTTTGGAGAATTGTCATCTACTGCAACTGATTCTAACTTTTGAGTAACTTCTTCAACAGACATGGTATCCTGCTCTTGTTCTTATCACACGATCTTATATCTAACCTATAATAACTCAATTAGTCAACCGATCCTACAAAAAAAAAAATCAAAAAATCATATATAAAACAATCTTAAATATATATTTCACCATCCTAGCAATCATAAATCAATAAATTATAACTATAGCAGCTCTTACTTTACCTAATACAGGTTTGAACTGTTCTTACTTTCTGCCTTCAAACGTTCGCTATTAACAAAAAAAAATTTTCAATGAGGTTACCCGGAATCTCGATATTTTATGGAAAACCTTTAAAATATTTAAAAATAGAGGAACCAAGGTGTTATAAAAGTAGTTTAATAAAGGTCTCTTTTATGGTTAATTATTTATAGAAGAGGGCCAACCGAGGCAATCTGGAGTGATTTGCTGTTGAACTTTTGCTGGTGGGTTTTTTTCCGTCTTTTTTGGGGGGTTTCAAAAAATCTTGGAAAGTCAAGATTGATTTAAGGTATACGTATTCATTAGTAGTATAAATTTAAGCTTTTAGTACGTTGATTTTCTTTCTGAAACAATTGGCTTTTGAGTACATTGCTATTTTTCTATCTTTTTTGTTTGGTTAGTTTAGGTTTGCTAAAAGCAAGTGTAAATTTTTTAATTTTTATTTCACTTACGAGACTCATTTAATTTTTTTCCAATTTTGTTACCAAAATCTGTGTCAAATGTTACTAAGGTTCATCAAAATGTTTTTGGGTGGCCTAACCGTACTGTCTACTATTTCTGTGTCTGCTATTTATTTCCTTCAGAATAAAGTGGTCTATCCCTCTTGGGCTCAGGGTGCCAGAAACCATGTAGATACTCCTGATAAATTCGATATGCCCTATAAACGAGTAGAATTAACCACAAGAGATGACATAGTGATCGAAGGTTATGATATTCAAAATGATGATCCTGACTCAATTTCAACGGTTTTGATCTTATGTCCAAATGCTGGTAATATTGGATTTTTTTTACCAATTGTCGATATTTTTTATAGACAATTAAATTTAAGTGTATTTATCTATTCGTATAGAGGTTATGGGTTCTCAGAGGGTTCTCCAAGTGAAGATGGTTTAAAAATTGACGCCGATCGTGTTATGTCTTATTTAGCAACTAGTTCTTTCCATAAGAATAAAAAATTAATTTTATATGGTCGTTCGTTAGGTGGTGCTAACGCTATTTACATCGCCTCTAAATTTTCTCAATTATGCGATGCTGTGATACTAGAAAATACTTTCCTCAGTATACCCAAAGTTATTCCTTATATGTACCCACCATTAAAATATTTTGCTTACTTCTGTCATGAAATCTGGGAATCTGAAAGCGAAATCATAAATTGTAGTTCATCAGCTCCTTTCTTATTTTTAAGCGGCTTGCAAGATGAAATTGTACCTCCCATGCATATGAAAAAGCTTTACCAATTATGTCCAAGTAGCCAAAAGCAAGTTATTGAATTCCCTTCTGGTCATCACAACGATACCATAATTCAAGATGGGTATTGGGAGGTAATACGAACATTTTTAGAACAATATAAACTCATCAACTAAACATCTGTATTTTCATTTATAAACATTAAACGCGTCTGTAAATATAGGGATACTATTTGATTTTATATAAAATTTTTTATGAACACTATCTGATATAATGCATTCTATTTCCAAGTTATATTACTTGTATATCTCCTGCTGGACATTCATTCATCCCCTCATTTAAAAACCAATCTCTTAAGCATTGGAAATGGCCTTCATGACCACATGCCAGAACACACATTACCAATTTCTTCATGGGTTTCTCACATAATACACATAAACTATTAGGCTTCTTACATGCATCACAATACCAGTAACCAAATTTTTTCATGGAGTCCTTATTCCCTGTTCTTTTCAGTTCTTCGTTAAAATTAGTCTTAGAAAATTCATTTACAATCAGTTTCCCACATTTGTCACAAAATAATTGTACTGTAGAGTTTCCTCCATTGCCCTCAAGTATATTATTCCACGAACAATATTTCAACAAGGCAGTCGCTATTTCAAAAAGTTCATAACGATGCAGTATTTCAACAAACTGTAGCAAACTACTCTTCACAACATCAATGGTAGTAATATTGTAGAGATCTTGAAATAAGGTTATAATATTTATTGCTAATAAAATATTCCCAGTTTCCACAGCTTGGTTGAATAACTGTTTCAACAATTTTCCAGTTTCCCATGGCGGCCTGAACTGATCGTTATGGGCAACCTTTTCAGCAGATTTGTTTTTTTTTAAAATATTTTCCAAAGGTAGCGAAAGACTTCTTTCTTTTGGTGACAAAAAACCTGACAGTTTGATTGGAGACTTCCCAATAGAACGAGTTCTTGAATGCATTTTTCCTTGGGATAGCTTAATCATACTATTTAGAGAATGTGGAACATTTGAACTACTTTTTATGGATGACACTTTACTGATAGGACTACTTTGATCATTTAGACTAGCTGCACTATCTTGCGCCAGTAATAACGATCTATCTGGTCGTTCCATATTGTGCAATGGATTTGTCATAAATGTGTCAATAAAAGATGTTCTAGTTCTTCCTCTTGTAAGTGTAGGAATTTCAATAGATTTAGAGCCAGGGGCAACATCTTCGATGACCGATTCTGAATCTATTTTTATAGCGTTTTCTGTATTTACCTTACCGATATTCAATAAATTTGTGTTATCATTAGTTTCAATTTTATTCTCATCTCTTGTAACTTTTGAATTATCCCTAAAATGGCCACCATCTGTAGTTGCAGTTACGAACACATCACTTGGCGTATCCATAACTGCTGTGTTTTCAGCTTTTAACTGCTGCTGTAAATTGGAAATTGGGCGCTTAGATTCTTTTGTCCCTTCTTCGATGTCATTGTCTAGTTCCAACGAAGCTGATGTCAAAGCTTCTGGATTTTCTGTAACAAATGACTCAATCTCACTTGGAATATCACTGAATTGTGTTTGAGAAGAAGAGTTTTTCAATGCACGCTCATGATCCAGGTTTTCGAAGTACTGGAATTTGTCTTTAATCTCTATTGAGTCATTCGAGTTAATCGCCTCTTCAATCCCTGTTATGTCCTTTAAATCCCAAAGTAACGAATCTTTAATAAGTGTCCATATTTTGAAATTTGGAACGTCATCGATATAAGAATAGACTGAAGCATTATGCGAACATATCGTTACTAATTCTATCAGTATATCAACTTTGTGTTGAGCTTCAATTGCATCTTCTGGCATTCCATGGGTTCCGTGACTTAATTTTTTCTCCAAATTTAAATATGCATTATTCTTGGAGTGTTCACTTTTTTCATCAATATCGTTCTTAATACTTTCTGATGATGTAGATAATGCTGAAATTCTATCAGAACTTTTTTCAGCGATTTCTCCATCTGTTTTTCTATTAATTAGATTTGTCCATTTTGTTGTGTCAGTGAATCCAATTTTTTTAATAACGTCAACTTGTGATCCAGAATCATCAGAAATGCTTTTCCTTTTTATAATTGAGGATCTACTGTCTAATTTTCGATCTTTGCTAAATGAAAACTCTAATTCTCTTGCAAGATATTGGAAAACTTGAATAGGCGATTCCTTTATTGCTGCAATGTCTGATGACTTTGACAAATGCTTTTTAGAAGTAATTTTTGATAGTCTCATGTTATTTAGAATATGAGGGAAATCAAGGGCAACTATTAATGGAGATTGTATGCCCTTAAATTCTAATGGTTCATTAAGTGGAGAAGGGCTATTTGTTGGAGGCATAAATTGGGTCATGTACATAGGCGAAGTCATCCCTATAATGCTTTTGTTACTATGTAGGTTAGGTTGTTTTATATTTCCTGTTTTTTCTACAGAAGTAGGAGAAATAATTGTATTACTATTGGCCTTCTTAATTGAGTCTAAATATTTTGTTTTTGTAATTGAGTTGTTGTCATTAATTGATGGGTTCAACAATCTATGACTTTGTCTTCTTCTTTTGTCAAACACAAGAGGTATATATTCCTCATTTGCTGTATATGTACCGCTATCTTGATCAATTACCAACAAACCATTACCATCAATGTCTCTCCAAGTGGCTAAGGCCTTGGGCAAATTATCTAAAACAGTAGGTTCCAGATCAATGTCCCAGCCATTGATTCTGTTTGACCTATCCGTATTAAAAATCAAACTTTTGTCCCACCAAACAAGACCTTGGGAAGGAGAAGTAGTTAGTAGGACATGTTTAGGAATAAATTTTCTACAAAGTGAATAAATGTTAACCTCTGCTTCCTCGCCCATTGATGATATTGCAAGCAACGAGTCCATTACATTCTTCTCATATGCAGGTCTGAATTTTAATTTAGTTACTGGGAAACCAGTATTTATTGTCATCTCAGGTAATGCTAAACTAGTTGCATTTGACTGGTAATAATTGACATTAGAAGTGTGTAATGTATTTGGCGTCATACTTCCTAGAGAAGTCACTGGCGCATCGTTAACGACATCACCAATATACCAAATGCAACATTTCCCATCTCTACCACCAGTAGCAATGTAATCTTGGTTAGGATGCCAATTTAGACACAATCCGGGACCTGTATGTGCATTAATCTTTTTTTCTACTTGATTTGGTTGACGGATATCAAATTTTAGCAATAAGCCAGAGTCATGTATTGATGCAAATTTATATTCAGAATTACCAGTTTGTTTACCATCGTATGATTGATTAAATGATGAAAAATTATAGCCTGGCATCCATTTTACATCTCTTATTGAATCTGACGCAGCGTTGATATTTAAGTCAGGCTTGTTGGAGCCTGATAATGAATTAGATCTTAAATCCCAAATCTTTATTTGACCATCTTGACCACCACTTATCAGTAACGATGTCTGTGTCATATTAAAATCAAAACTGTTCACAGCTCTTGAATGTTCTGAAAAGGATGTTACTAATGGATTATCGATATTATCATTCTTATTGATATCATATATGGATATAATGGTGGAATTGTTACAGACTGCAATGTAATTGTTATATTTTTGGAAACCAGATTTTACATCAGCAATGGTGCTTAATTTTATTTGTCTTCGTCTCTTGTTTAAATTAGGATTTAATGAATTCAATTGGCTTGATCCTGAAGAAAATCCTTGGGTAAATTCATGGACCAAAGTTATTTTATTATTATCATTAGAAGAAAATTTATAATATCCTAAATGTGCCTTACCTGCACAAATAAGTGCATTACTTGAAGGATCATTAATTTTATCAATGCTTGAAAGTTCCTTGTTTGTATGAGTCGAATATAATAAACCGGATGATTTTGGCATTGGAGAAGATTTTCTCTTCAACAGAGCTTGTGATTTTTCACGCATTAATTGTTGCTCTACTGAGGATGGATCCCTACTTCGATCATAACTAGAATTACTACTGTTGATACTTCCAAATGAATATTTTTGTGAAAAATTTTGACGTGGTGAACCATCTAAAGAAGGTGAATGTATACTATTTGAATAATGATGAATTTGAAAAGACCCCCTGCTAAATGATATCGGCTTCACCTCATTTCTGCCACTCATATTACTCTTATTATGAGTTCTAGGGCAGCTATAATTACTCATTGGTAGACTAACATATGAAAAAAAAAGGACCCTTAATCTCTATTCAATAAGTTTTCTAGTAAATTATATCTATAGTTCCAGGTCAAAATCAAATACCCTATAAATACCCTAATATTTCTTGAACCTCTCAAAATTGAATTTATTCCCCTGGTTTACCAAAAATCCATAATTAAGGGAATAATTCCTTCATGCCCCAGAAATTTTTATCCCATTTGAACCGAATTGGGTATTCCTCTAAGAGGCGATAATAAAAAAACTTTGTAACCGGTCTGTTCCAAAATGGGGAAAATATATGGGGGGTTTGGGGATTTTTAATCTATGAATAACTTAAGGCCGCGAATTTTAAAGTGAAAAGTGGGAGAACCCAATACACGGATATTTAAGAAGTTCTGGTTTACGCGAAAACACCTCTTGTCTGTTTACATCCTGTACCGGGGGAGGAACAGGCCACAGGGGGGGCAACAC